CTCTTGCAAAGCTTTTTGAGGTCAATTCATCATAATCCCGAATCGTAACTGAATTCTCTCCACAAGTCTCTCCCACATTCTTCAATACGCCACAGGATGATGCTGTGCACTGAGTTCCTGATTCTGGACGGGGATCGAGAACAATTACATGGAATCCTCTAGTAGCGAGCTCGTACGCCGTCAACAGTCCAACGATTCCGGCCCCAACAACATAAACTGTGATAGGATTGCATCGTCTGTCTGCTAAAGGTCTTGCAGACTGAGGATTGCTTTTTCCCATCGAGCTGCATTGGCTCGGAATCTGACGGAAGGTGGAAAGAGTTCGTCTTCTCCATCCCGAAGTATCGGGCCTTGAAATGTTCTTTAATTCATAGAAACAAAAAACCATTCCAGTTGCTGCAACTAGCCTCATCGTCTCGCCTAGGACCAGCTGTGCGATCTGCGCACGTGTGCAACTGAGGATCCAAAATCAGATGGCTCGTAAGTTCGCGTACTCTATCACCGGCATTTGGAAAATTTGGGCTCTTGAGGCCAGTTTTCGACCACTATTACGCCCGACAGGGAGAACAGCAGCGTCTGGAACTACTGGAAACAGATGATGAAATGCTATGGCTTCTCTGTCCTCGATAGAACATCAGCAGCGGCGATTTGAATTCAAATTAAATTTTGCTTCATTTCTTTTTTTGAAATGCAGAAACTCAGAATTTTGATTTTCAATTGCTCATAAGATGCTGGACCATGCAGCGAAATAAGACCGACATTCCCCGTCCATTAGCAAAGAAACGAATCGAGCCCCGAACATCTGACCGGCTGACACCGAAGGCCAGAAGCAAAGCCGGAGAGACTTTTACTTTCACTTCTGATAGCGATACCAATGAAGGAAGTTTGCAACAGCGAAGCACTCATGTGGCGGATATCTCCCACTGCCAACCGCCACCGGAGGCGGCAATGAACGAGTTGAGTGGTGAAGACGACAGCAGAGATTTCGGCGCCGCTCTGCTGCATTGGCTGATGAGGGTTCACAGAAGTCTTGAAGATCTAAATAAGGCGTCCCACGTCGAAAGGTACCAACGAGAACATGAGAACAGCAAGCTGTTGCCCTTCAGCCAGAGAGCGATCGAAGATCAATCCATAGTGTCTGCTATCAAGTTCGGTTAGTTAGAAGAGCACTATGTTGTCGACCTATTGTCTTTCAACTTTTAGAGGTTGCTGTATTGAAAACTCAGATCGCAATCCTCCAAACCCGAGAAAGCAGAGAGGTAACACTTCCAGGGTACGCTATCACAAGCTTAATTTATTCTGTCTTCATAGCACTTTCTAGCGCATGAGTTGGGGTCCCTTGGCAACCGCTTTCGTTTCATGATCGTGATGGCTGTTGCTGGAATTTTTTGTTTGCTTGCACCATGCCTGACAAGACTTTACAGGAACAGTGATTAATACCCAACAGATTTAGGGGATGGCTCGGGAATCCGAAGCACCAGCATCATTACAACCAGTCGCAGAGGATCATGAAGGTCGATTCGTGACAAGGGTGCCTCTATGGCGATTTCAATCAACATTAACGCCATGGAGTATTGTCCTTTACCCATTGACAACTGTAGGAATAATTGTTTCATTTTATTCAAATCATATTTGTCTTCCCCAGGTTCAAACTCGAGGCGTATGTGTTCCATATCTTCGTCCTGCAGGTTGGATAACACCAGATTGGCTGCCCAAAGATCAGGTTCCTGTTCGATCTCCCTTACTCGCGTCATCCACATCCGCTGCATTCAGTATAACATCTTCCGTTGTTTCTGGGACACTCAAATCTTTCCAGCTGGTGAGTCCGTTTGGATTCCACCCAGATCTTTATTCTGTTTCTTTCTTCAGATTATCTCTGATGAGGGATATCTTGGTTTGTATCGTGGATTTGGAACTTACTTGCTTCATGGAATTTTGCGGTATGGATTCCTTTATTTTCTCTGTATCGGAATTTTGTGAATCTCAGTGACATGCTTGTCTACCATTCATTGCGTGTATTCTATAAGCCGCTTCGAAACGCCTACCGCTCAATCGAGAAGACCGTTGCATGTAGGGATCGATTCAAAGGCTCCTTCTCTGAGTCTTTTCTTCAAATGTTTGATTTTCTCCATTTCAGCACTCTACAAAAAATTGTTTCATTCTCATCCAACGCTTGAAGGGGAACATTCAGTCGATTCTATCGTTTCTCCAAGAATCTCCACCCGCCCTCGCCCTGCAATCAGTCCTGTGCGAGATGTCCCACAAATTATCATCAAAGCTGTTGCAGATGCAATTGTTTATCCTCTTCTGGTTGTTGCAACACGCCTCACAGTCTACGAAGGCCCAGAGACAATCAGTAAGTCCTCGGTTGCTGTCTCAATTCTTAGTCCGTTTTTTTTTATTTCCGGTCTTCAACCTTTTGTCCCTCTTTTAATCTCACTCTTTCCAGGTTTTCTACAGATGGCTGAACTCTCATGGACATTTGACGGCTTCATTGGAGGGTTGTATCGTGGATTTTTAGTCCATAATGTAAATCGACTAGCAGATGATGCGGCTGATCTTTTATGTGTTAAATTATGTAGAAGACGTAAATTAACCTGGCCACATACGCTCTCAATAAGGGCAGGAACTTTTAGTAAGCCTTCAACTATTTCATTATTCCATCGCAACACCATCTTGTTCCTCTCAAGTGATCCATGGATGCCTTTCATTTTTGATTCTTTTTTTCAGCAATATTAGGATCACTTACAGCTCCTCTAGCCACTCTTGGATTGATTCAGCGGACACAATCACGCATACCAGGATTGTGTGACCCAGCAGTGGATCCAACAGATTTACTCAGAAAAATGCCATGGAAATTATTGACATTGAATGTTGCATTAACAACGTTGATTGCTGGCTTCAATATCGCGGTAGGTCTAAGTAGAAGAATCCATTAATGAATAGTCTCTGGTTCTATCAATTCTGTTCATTCCTTTGCTTATCTCGTTATTTCTTCAGCTGTTTCTTGCTGAAGGACATACGGGTGGAATCGGGCCACTGGGAACAACAGATACAATTGAACCTTTAGATGATGATGACGATGTAAATGAGTATTGATTTGCATTCAATTACAACGTGTCTTTTAAGAGAAATTTGTACGGTTGACAGCATCAAAGATTTTTGACCTGTATTTTGATTGATGAACCAAGAAAAGGTCTCATCCCATCACTTTGAAGCACCCGACTGACTTTCTAGAGATCTAATCTTCTCTCTCTGTCTAAGACAATCATCGAAATCTTCTTTCAGTTCAGATCGTAATTCTCCATATGAACTGTGTTTCGCAAAACTGATCAGAAGACTGAATGATGAAATAAATCCCTTCTGCTTACGATTGTAGAGGACATGTTCTTCGATGTTTCCCAAATCCCACTTTATGTCTCCATAAAATGGGACAAGTGTCTTCGAACACCTCGATCATTCCCTTTCCAACCTCTTTCTGTATAAATGGACAAATATGTGAAACCAAACTCTGAGACTCACTCGACAATCTACACAAATCTTCTTGGCCTTCCACACCACAACTCTTCTCAACTCTTTCTGAATATGGTCCGGGATGTTGAATTCATGACGAACATCGTAAGATTGAACTCCCAGCTGTGGGGGCAAAGGGTCATAAATCGTCACATCAGTATACTTCTTGTGCTTCTCCTCGGTGGTTTTGCGTCGACGTCCTTTGGCGGGTTTCTCCTCTGTCGTCGTCACCTCAGAGGAGCTTGCTGCGGTAGCGTTCGTCCTGAATCCAGTCCAGCTGGGTAGTCTGTGAATGAGATAACATTCTTTCCATAAATTAGGGCGAATACACGCTCTCGATGTTAGGACCATCTTATGCGAAAAGTTCAAAAAGAAGAGAAAAACGGAACATGCATTTGGCTTCAAATCATCAAAGTATATTCCATAGGTTTTCAAATTCATTGCATAATTTGCCACAACAAACCTAAAAGTGAAATGGGAGAAAAGTGACTTTGTGCAAATTGTGCCTCACTGCTGCTGTCAGATGATGTTCAGATATCCGTAACGCATCTATGATTCCATTGCAATTTTCTACGGAAGCTGAAAGAACAACACCGTGCGATACAGTCCATACAAACTACAAGCTTACTTGGATCTGATTTAGCAACTGCTCCTATGAAGAAAATTACTGGATCTTGAATCGATTTGAATTGGTCGCAAAACTGCCGTAAATCGACACTCTTCCCGCTCACTGACAATCCGTATCGATTTGCAGATGGCGGAAGAATTTCATCTAAATTGTTTTTTACATACTGAAAGCGAAGACAAGTTTTTTTTTTGGGTTATCTGGCTGAAAAATGATTCCTACCCGCAGTAATGTAACGTTCGATTCCTGAGCCTTGATGGAGCGTCTTTGGAGGAAAGTCACTGCAAAGAAAGGGTTCTTCAAAGGGTGTTTTCTGATGATTTTTCCATCTTGCTGTGCTGTAGTTGACGTTCTCGGGGAGTCAGTGTCCCTTACCCATTAAAGCTTCAAATTGAATCCATGTTCTTGGAATTGTTAAATGCGGAGATACTTCAATCAATTGATTATCAGCGGTGCGAATAAAAATTGCTAGTTTTCCGCTTCTATTCAATGGGCTGTCTAAGAGTGTAATCAAACACCTATAGGAGACAATGGATCACAGATGCTCATCGTTAGTCGTACTGATGCGTTATATCTGGTCTGATATCGTCTGGTTCACGATTTAATTTCTTCAAAACGCCGCGATGATCTTGAGAATTCAAGAGACTGTAAGTGTGTTTTTTACTTTCAACAATTTCTAAACATCTGCACAGGGAGAATGAATCAAGATAGAATCACTCGAATCCTTACGCCTGATCTAGAATCACAATGACCTTCTGTCCTTTAAGCCGCTCTTCTCTTGTTGAGGGGACGAACGGCTGGGATGAGTCCATGGTCTTAACAGGTTCAGTACGATTTTTGTCAAGCAGAAAAGTTCAAAATATTAATCATTGCGCAATGGCATCTTAGAAACATTGATTCCAGCAGCATCGATAACGATAACATCTACTTCGTCCCCTGAACAAAAAAAGAATCAGGCAAAACTTATCGTCAACTACTCACCTGTATAGATATCCCTCTCACAAACCGATGTTACGATATCTTTCACGAGATCAATTGTTTGTAATTTATTCAATTGAGGGGGAGGATTTGTTTGATTGCTGCGATGGATCTGAAAAAACCATCAATTCAATTGATTATTCGATTTCATGTCACTCACCTGATTATCCAAGACTGACAAAGCAAGGCTTGATCCAGTTCCACGCGCTGTGTATGAACTTTGCTGATACGATCCAATAGCATCATAGTCATAAATGGCTCCTTGTCCTTGGCTATCGACACCCACCAAGGCGTTGAACGCATAGTAAGGGAAGAAGCGCTTATGGTAAAGAGTTGTTGAAAGAAGTTGGGACAGGGCTTCGATTGTTGGTGGGTGCCGATGTGTGTGTTCATACATGCGAACTTCGTGCTGAATTGAACATGGATGAGAGATGACAGTAGAGCTCGACACACTTACAAGTAGAACTTTGTGGAGGGTTGTGATGTCAGCTTGCATTCCAGAAGATGCGATGATGCATGTATTAGTTCTACAAGAGACACAGTCATCGTCGATAAATCATTGTCTGGACGTCTTTCTTTAATCGAACAAGTCAATTTAAAAAGACGGGCGTCAATAAAAACATTGGGCCGTCAAAACTCTTACAGTTTCGTATATTTGGGGAAAACGTCTAGAATGGATTTGAAATCCCATTGAGAGTCGGGTGTCCGCAACACAGACGGCATAGTCACTACCAGCAACTGCTACGACAGTTCTGAAAATAGAAAAGTCATTCTAAGCTGGGACACTATTTTCCATACCCTCCATTATTAACATAGGGAGAGAATCGACATTCCTTGACATGTTGTCGATCTTCTGCGGCATGCGACTGGATGGTTTCATCAAATCGATCCATTGATGCACATATTTGAGTCTGCATGGTTGATGAAAATATGAATTTTTGTGTCCTTTAAAGCGTCAACAGATAGTCCCACCTTAACAGTAGATGACTGGACTGACCGCGAAATGACAGAACGACACCAAAAAACGCACGAAGGACTCACTCAGCAAAAACATGAAAAACGTAGAAATCGATCCTGGAGGACGAAGTCTGAGAAAGCGCTCCCACAAAAGGAGCGTGTAGTGGAACCGATTGACCGAATGGTGCTCGACAACTTAGAACGACAAGTGAATGAGATTGAAGCTATTGAAGCGATGTATGCAACATTACTTGATGGGGTGGATGTCGCGAGATTTGAAGATGAGGGACAGAGAAGGATCCTATTGTATAGTGAGGGGAATGAAGAGCTTCCAGAGAGAATGAGAAAGTTGCTTGAGTCTGAGGATGTTGTTATTTTAAGTCCCAAACCATTATGGAAGAAGATTAGTGAAATTCTTGAGAAAAGAGGGTCCAAAGATGAAATTAATTCCCATCAATTGGAGGGTCTTTATTCAGACTATTTATCAGCTCCAATCACTCTTCTGGTTTTTCTTCATTCTTGTTGTTATTCTTCAACATATCTAGGATTTATGTTTGAGCTTCACCCAATGTATCCGGTAATTCAAAAATTGTTCCACATATACTCAAGTAATTAATACACGACGTATTTTCTTCGTTTCAGACTAAAACCGATGGATTTCAAATCTCTTTGCTTCTCATTTCATTCTCATCTGATGACTCTTCTTCTCATCATATTGAACTTCATTCAACGGCATCAATTCAACCTCAACATTGTCCAATTCCAATTAGACAACTAAAAGAAATTCAATCAGAGTTACAAGGTCTTCCTACAGAGTCGATGGAGGCAATTGGACTCGTTTTGCAGCAAGGGCAGGCAAGTTTAGTCTGTTGTATATCTGAAGTCTAATGTTTATTTAAAGGACTCTTTGACCCGAGTGATTCATTCCTTAGAGGAAAAGGATCAAGCCTTCCAAACTCATTTTGAAGATTTACAAGCAGTAGGAACAACAATCTCCTTCCTTATAACAGCGTGATATTCTCTCGCAGGAAGCAAATAGAGACAATGCTGATGATGATAATGATGATAATGATGATCATGATGATGACGATGATGATGACGACGATGTTACAACTGAAACAGCCTCATCAATGCTAACGGTTGTTCCACGAGGCCCTTCAAGTCTTGAAACTACTTTGGGTCGTCGTCTCTTCTATTCTCATCACATAAGATCTCCCATCAAGAGGGATCTTATTCTCAGGTGAGTCTTTCGTTTGATGATTTCGAGTTCATGGTTTTCCTCCAGATGGGGTGCAGATATGCATCTTGGCGGCTATTCAAAAATCGGTGAGGACATTCAAAATGCAATCGTCGCCATTTTCGTCCTATCAGGATATCCAGGAGTCATTATTGTAGAAGGGCCCGAACTTTCCTGCCGCGTAAGTGGATAAGACAATTAGCCTTCCTTAATGCGTCTATCAGGAATATGGGAGAAGATTGCAGCATCTTAGATGGAGATACTTCGCTTGTCGGGGGAGAACAATTAATAGAATGTACGCGTCAATGATTCTGTTTTATTGATAGTTTCAAATCGTGTTAGGTGATTGTTTAGAGAGAGTTGAAGAATCGCGTCTCTTTCCTAGACACGTCATTGAATTGAATCAAATGGATGAATTAGCGCGATATTGTAGTGAACTTGGTGAGCGTTAAATCCAATCCAGCGAATCCAACCGGGGTCAACAATGATGAAGATTTATTGGCTTGTTTAGCGATGGCAACACGGTAGTCTAAATCTATTAGAAATTGTTCAACTTCAGGGTTACGCGATCTTTTCTTAACGTCTATGAAAATCTATGGAAGAACGGAAGAAGCCCGTGAAAAGAATCCTGGGTGCGTGTGTCAGTGCAACCAAAAAATGCAGTCTTTTTTGTTTGCAGAACGAATGTTAAGAAATCGAAGGTTCAGAGGACGAAGCGGTAGAAGATTTTTAGTGATTAGCGAGTTTAGTCATAGAGCTTTTTTTTTGTCAATAACAAATTAGGGACCGTTAAGTTCAAAAGGAATGGAAGTAAGGAAAGGTGTAAAACGTGAATCAATCATATCTGCCAGGGACGTCTAGCGTTGCCACCACCAAATGTTTATCGGAGAGTGCCACTGTTGTGTGGGGTTTGCTTTGCTACTGGGGCAGGTGAGTGACAACTATTGGATGAATAACACATTCCCCTTCTTTAGCTATGGAGTATGCAATGATTAAGAGTGGATTTTACAATGTTTCATCTGCAAATCTCGCGCATCGTCAAGCAGCACGCGTGATAGAAGAAGAACAATTTTGGAATCGTATTCAAGAACGACGGAAAGCAAGAGAAGGTAATCGAAGAATCAAAACTTATTGAAGTCTTTGTGTTTATCAGAGGAAGCATCACAACCACTGGATCAGCCACCGAATCAGCCACCGGAGTCGGAGCAATAGCGAATCTGCGTGCCTAGTCGATGGTCTGGATTTTTTTAGAGATGTAAAATTGGGGATGGACTGACTACAACTCTTACATACGATAGACCCTTAGCGCAGACGAGAATGGATCGAAATCCAGGAAGTGGAGTTTTGGGACTCAGCAAAACGACCAACAAGAAACTTTGTTGGACTCTGCAATTTTGGTTATTTGCCTTATTGGTAGTGATTTGTTTGTCTCCATCTGACGCATATGACAATAGAGAATCAACAGCTGCTTATAATGATGTTCTCAAAGAAGTTTTATCAGAGGTGACAGATCTATCAGCACCACCTTCTGTTGATGATTCAGTTGAAACTCTTCATAATGAATTTATTGAAGCTCCACTTGATCTGTCTATAGCGCGAAAATTCCTATCAGTTCTTGGTCGATTCGTTTACATAGACTCAAGGTAAGAGGAAGTTCTTTTTACAGTTCTCATCTTCTTTTCTTGTGAGGTGTTCTCTTATTCTTGGAGATTTATACTTTCAAGGATTGATTCCTTCCGGTCTGCTTCATTCCGAAGATGCTTCAAAGAACATTACGCGTGCGCTTGGATTGTGGAGATACTCAGCATATCAAGGAAATGCAGAAGCTCAATATCAGTTGGCTCTCGTCTTCTCAACTTACTACAACCCTCCTGCATTCACCCGTGATCCTGTCCTTCTCTCTGAAGTTCTGAAGCAGTACAAAACTCCTTCACAAACAAACAAGTTTCAATTTCATGTGGATGGATTCTTTCCTCCTCAATCTTCACCTTCTGTTGAATCATGGAATGAATTAAACACATTCATCAATTACATCACATCAGATTTGGGACATTCTTCTGAGCTTCTTCTCCATACGATGGAAGTTCTTGCTTCGGAACACGATGAAGATGAATTTGAAATCACACAGCACTGGATGCAACGGCAACAGTTAACTCAAAACTCATCAAAGTTAAGGAAAGAAAATGAGAGTGCCAAAAACATTCCCATTATATAGACGTGAAACATTAGCCTTGCTGCATTTCTATGCTGCAGCGCAAGGCGGCCATGTTGGAGCGCAGCTGGCACTCGGATTCCGCCACCTGCACGGCTTGGGCGTCCCCAAAAGATGCACCGCTGCAGCAACTTATTTTTTGCATGTCGCGAGAGAACTGGCCCAAATTTCATCAGCTGGAATTCCGCCAGTTGCTGAAATTATTCGGCTAGATCTCGATGTTTCTGGAGAAGCCAGTTCTCGAAGAGGGAGAACTCAATCCCATTTGGTAGATTTACAGAAGCATTTAGCGGAAACGGGACATCCAAAAATCCAAGCAGCTGTTGGAAGAAAATATCTCTTAGGTAGTTGTGTGTTTCAGTCTGTATCGAACTTGTTTTTCTTTAGGAGTCGATGGGTGCCAACAAAACTACTCGTTGGCTGTTCATTATTTCAAACAAGCAGCTTCGAAAGGTTTCAAAGAGGCTCTCTCGTGGTTGGGTTATTTAGTGACGTTGGGTATTGGTGTTGAAAAGAATTATGATTTAGCGATGAAGTTATTTGAACTTGTTCTATCAACTCAATACGATCCGATGGGTAAATGACTCAATTAGAGACACGACTAGTAACAAAAATAATATTAATATTATATTCGAATCCTTGTTTTCATTCAGCTCATAATGGTTTGGGGTTTTTGTATTTTGTCGGGACACCATCGACACCAGCATCAATTGAGAAGGCTGTACTCCATTTCACTTTGGTCAGTTAATTTATTATTTGATTCTCGTCTTTATTTTTCACTTCTAGGGAGCCGCAAAGGGTTTCCCTGATGCGCGTTACAATCTCGGAGCTCTTCACTTGACTGGCACTGGAGTTGAACAATCTTTTAGTAAAGCCCTCAAATATTTTTCATCTGCTGTTGAACAAGGGCATTCATCCGCGATGTATCTATTAGGTAATAATGACTGCTTCATTGGATGCATTGATGTGTCTCTTAAGGTGTGATGCATTTTAATGGACTTGGAACGTTACGCGACTGTTCAATTGCTGCTGGTTTGTTCAAACGAGTTGCAGAGAGACATTTCTGGGTTGCCGATAACTTAAAGAAAGTAGGATTCTATTCGGATGTCCCAAATCATGCGTCATGTGCTTGTAGGCATATTCCTTCGACGCACAAAATCGTCGCGATGAATCTGCGTTCGTGAATTGGAAATTGGCTGAAAGTGGAATTGAATTCGTCCAATCGAATTTAGGTGAACTTCTCGATGGCGGAGGACGCCCGTTAGCAATAGGCAGCATACGTGAGCGAGATCCTGATAATCGCGGGTTAACGCTTATTCGATCTGTCGCTTCTCGAATGCCTGGAATGAAAAAGAAGTTCGTGACTCCAACGGCGCTTTTTTCGTTAGATGAGCACCCAAGTAAGTTGGACTCTCATCAAGTGGGTTGGTGGATGGTCCTTCAACAGGTTTGGGAGTCAATAGGGCGTTTGCTCAACGGTATTGGGATTTGGCGGCACTTCAACGCTCGTCTCATGCATTAATCCGACTGGGGGGAATATGCATATCATGGATGGGGCCTAGTACCTTCACCACAATCAACCAGAAGGACTTTAAACGCTTTCATTGATTTGAACGACGATATTGTTGATGAAATAGAGGATCAGTTCAGCGATAGTGATGGCGCTTCGATGAGTGGCTGGGGTGTTCTTCGTCGGAGTCATGATGTGTACCAGAGACGTTCTGGACGTCATTATGAAGAAGCGTATCGTGAGAATACAGCTGACATCAATATAGACGTTCTTAGAATTTTTGAATTTCTTTTGTTTTTCAGATTTTTACGACCGCGCATCAACACCACAGCATTCAGAGATTGCAACAATTAAACAAAGTGCACCTCATCAAATTCACGCTGAATTTTTACTTTCGCAAATGCATGAAGCGGGATTGGGAGTTCCGAGGGATTTAGATCTAGCGAAGAGACATTTGCTCAGGTATGAGAAAATAAGATGATCATGAGTGTGACTGTTGTTCGTTTCAGCATTTCCGAAATCGACTCGGAGGGAAGTTTTTGGCTTGTACAAGTTCCAATCTTCTTATTGAAGTTGAAGTCACTTCTCTTTGTAAGGAATTTTGTATTGCGTGAAAACATTTTCTGTCTCAGGTTCTTACTATTGATTACCGACTTCTTTTCATCGTCATAAACCTTGCTGTTATGTCTTTGCTTCAAGTTTTACATTTCTTGATAGAACGCCGTTCTTCAGTATAGCATCGCCTGAAACCATAAGTCCCAAATTATCTGTCCCTCGGGACATCTTTGTCTGACAAACAAGCAGACCACCAGGACCTTTCGTGTGCCTCGACTGAAGGACCCCGCACTGTGCTGCCGCCATGGAATCCACTCTCTTTACAAGATTCGTACAGCCCGGGCGCCTCTGTCTTATTCAGTACGGACCCGACTATAATAAAGTGAGTCGAAATTTGAATGGGTGTGTCGTGATGTTGTCCTTTAAATATCAGGTTGCTGTCATCGTTGACATTATTGACCAAAAGCGTGTTTTGATCGATGGACCAACAACAGACGTCAAACGGCAACCCATTCCAATCAAGCGACTTCAATTGTCGGACCTGTTAGTCAAAGGAGTTAAGAGAGGGTGTCGCTCCAAGACTCTTCAAGGCTGCCTTGAGAAGGAAAAGACCGTTGAGCAGTTCGCTGACAGCGCATGGGGCAAGAAGCGGTACGTGCTCTTGAAATGTGATTTTAAGTTTAATTGGGGATCATTCCTTTTCTGTCAGTGCCGCTCAAAATTTCCGGGCCAGTATGACCGATTTCCAGCGATTCCAGTTGATGGCTGCCCACAAGAAACGCAGAACGCTCATTCAAAAATCTCTTGGCAAAAAGTGAACATTTTGAGTTGCTGCTGCTCTTTTTCGTCAACTAACTGGTAGCAAGAATACTTCGGCGCGTTGTCTGGATTGCATGTTTGGAAAATCTAATCACTCGGCGAATCATCAGAGCTCACTGATGACGATGGCTGAGTTAATTCATTCATTAAATCGTCGTCTTCAGATGATCCCAAGAAACGACTCTTCACAAGGCGATCTTGACGATCCTTGTCGTTCACGATTGGGGGGAGAGGGTGGAGTTTAGGACGAACCCGTGATGCCATCGATGGTCGTTGTGACGACGGAGGGAGTTTTGCTTGTTGGGGTTTTGAGGAAACAATTGGGAGATTCGATGGGAAGACTCGCTTGGGGGGGACCTTCAGTAGGGAAGAAATCAACTGCACAGATAATCGTCAAAATTACAAGCTGAAGTGTTGCGACGATTGATACAAAGAATTGGACTGATTTCCTCCAATTGAATTGAACCGGACGTAAGACAGAACCACTTGCCAGCTCAATAGAACTTCCGAATCCTGATCCTAAAGCCACCGATAAGGCAAGCATCAATAAACTAAATATAACAGCGAGTGCTAGACACAGATGGAAGATCGTGGACCCTCCTTCAAATGCCTCATTTGAAAATAATGCGGTTCTATGGGACAGTCTTCGACGGTTAGACAGATCACTCCTTGCAGATCCGCTCATCATCACTCTTCCTCCCTTCGACCTCTTTTTCCTTCGCACGCTCCGATTTGGCACAATGCGGCTGCCCTTCGTTGTTCTCACTTCATTGGACTGTGCTGAGTTTGCAATCTTGTCTCCCTCCTGGTTTCTTAACTCGCCCCTCGCTTCCTGATTCTCTATTGGAGTGACAGACATTTCCTCTGCATTCTCTGATTGATGGATTTCTTCATTGGGAGTTTCAGTAACACTTCGAGATTCTTCCATGCTTCCGGGTTGTTCACTTCGATCTACTATGGTACTGTTTTTCAAAGACTGGTTTTCTTCTTGGAACATGGCCGAGCAGATACGCTTTTTCCTCTTGCTATAAACGCGTTTCTTAAAACAAACAAAATGAACCAAAAGTGTGTCTGGCTTAACTCACCTTTCTGTCAAGTTGCCTCAAAGCGTCAACAATCGAGGAGGAGGAGTCCTTCGGCTGAAGAGCCAACGCCTCTGAGAGCGCCTGGACAACAAACACATTGAGGACTCTCTTGTCAAAAGGCACACCTTTTCTGCTTCTTCAAAATTGTCAAGATGTAAATAGACCAGACCGCTAAAAATAAACATCAATCCGTGTGTGTTGTTGTTGTTTTCTCACCGTCTGTAAGAAGCTTTGCAATTCTTTGGATCCATTTCTAACGCTAATCGGCATTGGGTCAACGCTTCATCCCACTCCTACATCCAACCATTACGAATTCCATAACCAACTTCATTACCTTTTGATGGAATTTACAGAGAGCCATATTCAGATGAACAGCAAGTTTCTCTCTCTTCATCCATTCTTCTTCCTCAGGAGTATCCGGAAAGCTATAATCAAATTGCAGTAGTGCCTGCAACAATCTTTGTATCATCAACATTGACCTTCCCTCACTTTTCTATAATTCACAGCAGCTAATCCAAAGTTTTTCTCCTTATACGCAACATTTCCCTCAACTCGGAATCTAAAACAAGCATTCATTAGCCTCAGGTAAAATATTGCTTTCAATTCGATCAACCTGCTGCTTACCTTTCCGCTGCTTTCAGTTTCTCCGAAGTTGCTTTTTCGTAAATCTGCCTTTCCTATAAAATCAAGAGATAACAGCAAGCAAATTCCCATAAGATCTACCTGTGAGTGGTCATGGGCGCATCCAGCCATCGCTTTCGTGTAATCGGCTGTTTCTTGTTTTTTTTGAGCTTCTTTTTCTTCTTCAAGTCTCAGCTCTTCAACCAAACCATCCCATTTCCCATAGTCAATATCATTGACACGTCGACGCGCCTGGATTTCAGAATCAGATTTCGTTTCCCTTCAACTACTTACGTCTTTTACCACCTGTGAGTTGGAAGGGGTGAAATCGTTCTGCTTTATTTTCGTGGCCTTGAAGTGTTTGACGGCTCGTTGGGCAAACTCATACGCCTCTTTTGAGGTTTTTTGTTGTCATTTGACTGAAATCTGTGCCTTTCTGCCAAAGAGGTTCCGCACTTGCATGAGTTTTCAGGAGCACTTGCTTCCGCTTCCCTTGGGGATACAAACACTCCCACCAGACGTTTTCTTTGATTTCGTTTATGGCAGGAATTTGCATGTTACGGCTTTGGGATCTCATTTCCTATTTTAGCGTAAGAAAGAGTTTACACGGGTGCAGCTCTTGCAGCAGCAGCACTTAAGTAAAGAGCTTCCAATACTTGTGGGGAAGAGTAGTTTCGTTAACTCAGGGATGCTTAGAGATGGGATGCATCTTTATCAAAATGGCAAAGTCTGGATGACATTCAGCAAGGAAATTCGCTATCCGCCAGCAAGAATTGATAACAGTACAGTTTCATCAGGCAGAGAAACCCGTTCTCATCATTTTGTGTGTGACCCTGTATTACTTGGACCACTGAGCAATTATTTTACTGTTCTTCAATTACAAAGCAATTATTTTACTGTTCTTCAATTACAAAGCAATTATTTTACTGTTCTTCAATTACAACAAAGACCCCTTTATAAGCATTGCTAACACAACACTTCGTATTCATATTGATGAAAAACGTCGATATGAAGTTGTATAAAAAGAACGGACAAACAAAACAAAGAAGGGTTTCAAGTTGAATCAAAAAGTCTTAAAAAGTCGGTTACCAGGCTTCAACGTTGTATTGCCCTTTGATTTGCATTTGATTAACGAGATCAGAAGCCATCTCTTCTGTCGTATTAGAAATTTCGACGATGGCCTTTACGACAGCCGCACGAATATCAATAGGAACTTGTTTCGCCGAACCACAGAGGTAGAAGAAGCCTTGTTGAGTGATAAGTCGTTTGTAGAGAAGCTCTGGATCCCGATCGATGTGATGTTGGACGTAGAATTTTTCTTTTTGATCTCGAGAAAACGCAACCTTCAGGTCAGTCAACACTCCCTCAGCAGAGAACGCAGCGAGCTCATCACCATATAAATAGTCCTTCTTTGAATAGCGGCAGCCAAAGTACAAAACAACTGGTCCGATTTCCTTGCCAGACCGTTTGAGATATGCACGGTGTTGAATGAAAGCGCGGAACGGCGCCAATCCAGTTCCCATTGCCGCCATGATGATTGGGTGTCGATCTGTTGGAGGCATGTTGAAGGCAGTTGCTTTGAGAGAACACGAGAAGTAAATCGGAGTATCGCGCTCACTGGGAATAGAGCGACGTACATAACCAGTGCATGATCCAAATCGAGCTTCCCCCGTTTGAAGTCACCCAATCAACCACACCGATACAAAGATGCAAGCGATTGTCCCCAACGAATTTTTGAGATGATGCGATTGAATAGTAACGTGGCTTGTGGAGCGGGAGAAGATCAATCATGCGGTCAAGCGTCAATGATTGTTTGACGGAGGGGAATTTCTTCAATACATCAAAACAATGCACCATTTCCCTTGTTTGTCATTTGAAGAAAACTTTTCTTGTTCTCCTTCAGCAAAAGCGCTTTGGCCTTCTCCTTCTCAGCAGAGTCAGTGCAGTACTTATACAAGATTTCGTAAAACATTCTGTTGGGTTTTCCTCCAATATCGATGCATTCAGAAAGCAGCTGACGGACAGACATTGGTTGTTTGAACAATGCCTCATGTTTTGCACTCGATTCAGTTCCTGCCCTTTTGATACGAATCTTCAACTCAGGATCAAATCCAAAGAAAGCACAGAATTCTTCAACTAATTGAGGATCGCTTTCAGGAAAGATTGCCAAAGAATCCCCAAGCGCGTAACGCAATCCTGTTCCCGTCAGATCAAACTCAAGATGACGCACTTCAACATCATAATCATCAGGAGTCATCCGGCGACTAACATCAAGCTTCACAGCAACAGCCCCATAAGGAATGCATCGTTTGTAATCAACATGACTCGTCACCGTCTCCACCTTGTACATTGAATCTCCAGGTTCATCGCTCACATTTTGAGGCTCTGGTGCTTTTGATTCTGTCCAATATTCTGGAAGCCATTCGGAGAGAGCGGTTTCATATTTCTCTTCATGCTGATCGTCGCCAAGCCCACATCCAATCAAACGTTTTCCACCAAGATCAGCGAAAATAGCGTCATACTTCTTGGCTGCTTCATTGAAAAAGATGTATGAGGAATCTCCCAAGCCGAAGACCGCATACGTCATTTTGGATAAAAGGTCCTTTTGGTCAATTTTCTCAAGTGATTCGAACAAAACTTTTCCATTTCCAGGAAATTCTCCTTGGCCAGCAGTTGAGCAAATAACAACGACTGACTCCATATCAGCAAGTTCATCCACCTCGACTTCGTCCAATTGCATTACTTGAGGAATCAGAGTGCGTTGCTTCATAAGAGCGGCAAGACGATTTGCAACATCCTCAGCATTACCAGTTTCGCTTCCATATAAAATGTGAATCCTGTTTGTGTTTCCAGTCCCAATAGCTTCCAACGCGTGGCCTGCAGTGATTCCAGTTGCGCGAGCTTTCAAGTTATCAAATCGTTTATTGATCCACGTATGAACTTGATCTTCAACATGTTGAGCCAATTCTGGGTTCGTTCGGTATAACTGCTCGAACCGATTTTCTTTTCGGAGAAGATCTCGAACGTCCAATTTAATTTTCTTGCAGTCCAGTTGCAATGGTGGCTCACCAACCACTTCAAGGTCGGATTGTATCTGTAGAGCGGCCAGTAACCAGAGTCCACAGCCATGCTGCAGTGGACTTTTTGAGCACTGAAAGGCTTGATGTATCCCTGAAAGCCAAGGAGGATATCAATTAACCCCATTGATAAGAGACGATCCTTACATGTTCGATACATGGAGCATAAGCCAAGATAATGGATGGCCCGTGGTATTTCTCTGCTTCGACGAATGCTCTGACAACTTGAGACATGTTAGCACTCGACGCGACAGAAGCAACATAAACGCTTCCATATTCCATTGCAATCATTCCGAGGTCTTTCTTATTACGCAAATGACCAGCAGCACCAAATTTGTGAACCGCACCCAAAGGAGTTGCTTTCGAAATTTGACCTCCAGTATTTGAATAAACTTCCGTATCAAGAACAAGAATATTCACATCAATTCCCGAAGCAATCACGTGATCTAGACCTCCAAAGCCGATATCGTACGCCCAGCCATCACCACCAATAACCCAATGGGAAAACTTTGGAATGAGTGACTTCTCATCGCTGATTTTCTTCAACAAGGAATCCTTTTGCACAGTTTCTGCATCCAGTAATTTGGAGAGATCCTCAAAAAGCCTGGTACATGCGGCCGGATCGTCTTGCCAGCATTCCGCGAAGTCATTGAGTTTTTCGTAGATCTCAGGATTTAGATCTTCAATTCGATCCTTCTTCAAGAAACTTTTGACATAATTATGGAATCGTTCACGTCGATGTTGGAGTGCAACAATCATTCCGTATCCATATTCAGCGTTGTCTTCAAACAGCGAATTTCCCCATGCAGGCCCGTATCCCTTCTGGTTTGTCGTGTAGGGCACAGAAGGATAAGAAGCGCCCCAGATCGATGAGCATCCTGTTGCATTTGCAATGATCATTCTCTCCCCCTGCAAGATTCACAAGATTGATTGACATTCAAATGAAATATTCTTCTCACCGAATAGTTGGGTTAAAAGTTTCACATAAGGCGTTTCACCACACCCTTCGCAAGCACCAGAGAATTCCATTAATGGCGTATAAAATTGAGATCCCTTGATCGACGTCCGAGAT